CTTTCCTCTTTATAACCAAGGCAGAGACGTTAGTATCATTACTTTGTGATACAGTTTCTCAGAGAGAGCAGTCTTAAGATTCAAGCTAATTTAAAGCTATCCTGACATTGAAAGGGAAATCTCACCCTTACCTTACCCAACACGTGGTCCTGCCAAGTCTCTGGATCAACACTGGTGCTCATGCAGCCACGCAGTGAGTCTGACTGAAGTGATCCAGAGGAAAGCTAACCATGCAAACAACAAAACCACCTCAAAAACAAAAACCCCCCTTGTTTTCAAAGGGATCAATGAATTAACCCAGCTCCACACGCGTGCTGACAGACACTGAGGACAAAAATGCATGGCTGAGAGAAGGGAAAAGAAGGCAGGAGGGACTGCATGTGTCAGTATCATCAGTCTTGCATCAGCTTGAGCAGAAGATGAAGGATGAGTAGAAAAAAAAAAGTGACAGAAGCTTCAGGTGTCAGTACTGAAAAGCCACCAAAGAGAAAAGCAGTTTTTTACCTGTTCCACTATGTGGTACCTGGATAGGGTTCATTAGTCTGCAGTTTCCCCCTCTCTACCTTTTAGATGTAAGTAGTGAACCCTGTTCATACAGTTACCGGACTACAGTTTAATATTAAGCTGTTTTCCTAATTAATTGTAAGTAATGCTAAATAATTGAGCATTGTTTGAAAACACCTGAAAAGGACATTTTAGGAAATTTAGAAAAGGATAATGAAATTGAAATCCACCAACATGACAAGTATTACAACAAATGTAACACTAATATGTGTTTTGCATGCTACTTCCAAGCCAGGGTAACTATCAGCTGCTACCTAAAGGACTGGTCCTGCTCTCTTCATCCAAATCCTGGCTGTGTGCTCCTGCAACACTTTTTGTGTCACAATTGGCAACCGTGTGGGTACAGGATAAGTTGGTTCAGTAAACTGACATGACAGAAAACTAATCCTCCAATAAAAAACAAAGAAACTTCACAAATAAATAATTTTCTGCTGGATTCAGTCAATGAACTAATTCATTCTCAACTGAAGAATCACTCAGTCCCGTGTAACCAGAAGGGAAAGGAGTATGTGGAACTAGGGGGGATGTGGACTGATCTTTTCAGTAGCAGCCCACCATTACAGCAGTTTAACTGTGCTGTAATAGATACACACACAGTTCCACGCCAAGATTAGCACTTAGGCAGTGTGAATTGTGCAACTGTATTTCACAGCATTTCCTTCTTCCCCTACCCAATCTGATATCACTTAACAATAAAATAGTCTTGAATGTATTTAAGATAACTAAATTCTACATAAAGTCTTCTACTAATCTTTACAAATTGCTGCTACCAAAAAAGTTTTCATTCTACTTTCCAACAGGCACGCTATTCCAGCAGCATATACGCTAATGTTAAAAATCTCCTGATAATTATACCTAAGTGTACATGTTTTCATGAAGGAACCAGAAGCCTCTTCCCAGCATAATGTCACTAATACTCTTAGGAGATTTAAGAAAGAGAATTCACTAATGCACCTAAAGTATGTTACGATGACACAGTTTATAAAATCAGACATGTATGAAAATGATGTAATAGTTTGCTTTTATTTCTCTGTTGGGATTTGAGAAGCACTGGGCACATCTTTAGCACCTTTCTTCACCCTGTGTACCTGTGCAAGAATGTTTATTTTTGTATAATACTCTCTGTAACTTTACAAGGCTCAGTGGAAACCCGGAGATCGTTTTAATCAAGACAGCATCTCCTACTCCCCACTTTCTTTTCTAATTTCACATGAATAGTAATTTCAAATTTCCACTTTAATATCATCATTAGCATAACCTCCTTTATGCTTTCCCTACAACTGCTTCCTCTCATAGATTCTAGTATAAAGCCAATGTGGTTATCAATGAATACTCCATTGTTAGAACATTTTCAAATGTTCACAAGCCTCCAATAAGCCTTCCACCCATTTCCATTTCCACTGTTTCTTCAGATAACCCATTTCCAACTTTCCATTTTAGCTCTCGACATAATAATCATCACGAAAATGTCGTCATTGACAAAGATGACTAATCTCTCCAGAGCTCTCATGTATTTCCCTGAGTTTTCTCTTTTGCCATGTTCCCAAAACTGTTGTCTTTTTCAAGATAAAACTACTCAAGATTACATACATAGTTTGGCAAAACAGGAAACAATGGGTTTATGTTTAAACTTAGCATTAATCAGCCAGGCTATTCTTCCATCTTTGCCTGGAGACTTCCATTTTGCTTATGTATTTTCAATAACTTGCTGTATTGTTTCTTTAATAGAATTTCCCTTCTTCCAAAATGATTATTACCACCTGCAGACTGATTTTTTCACATGACCACAGAAACATCCATTTCTAAATAGATTCTAGAAAGTAGAAAATTACATATCAATATAGTTTTTCTGTTTTATTTCAGCTCTACTCCTTAGAATTGCTCTCAAATCTTTTATTAGTTCATGCTTAAAGCTAATTTGACAGAGCCTGCCTAATCCCCCCTTTCCTTAGCCTAACAAGGCTTCAAATCGCACAAGGCTTCAAATTGCTTCTCTCAAAAACTGATGCTAAGATTTGTGCTTGTGAATCTCTCAAAAGCAATGTCATGCTGATCTTTCATAAGATGCAGGACATCAGACTATCTAGCTGCATCTCTTGAAACTCTTGGTTTAAGCACAGTCTATCTCAGAGGTACAGAGACTACCCTAAAAAAGGCAAAAAATAAAGTGCTGAAGATCAGGGAAGAAAGAGAAAATTTCAGAGAGGGAAAGAAATGTGTATCAGGCTGACATAAAACTGGTTCCAAGTAATAGGAAAGCAGGGCATTGAGCTTGACTTGTCTTGACAGAGCTCAGGAATGAAAGCTTGACCCAAACCATAAACCAGCATAAAAGCATGTGGGGTTTTTTGTTGTTTCGTTTGTTTGTTTATTTGTTTGTTTTTTGGGGGGTGGGGGGGTGTTTAAAAAAAAAAAAAAGATTGTTAAATCTTGACTAAGTCAATCCCAGTGACATTCAGCAACACTGAAAAGTGACAAATTCTCCATTAACGTATAGTCAACTACTTTTATAAAACACAGATAGACCCTCAAAACCAAGGGTGTGAGCTGATTAAGTGTTTAAAAGAACTTGCATGTATCATTATGAAATTATTCAAACGCAAACAACATACAAAGGAAAACAAAACATATGCCTCATTTTTAGCCCATGACAGAATACACTGGAGTGTATCAACGGGAAGGTCTTCTGGGTGGTCTTTTGTAGTTTAGTTTAGAGTTCATGCATACTCACTGCTAAATTGCATAGAGAAAAGTACACACACAAAATGCAGATCCTTAGTCTTTACTTCTGGAGTGCCAAAAACCTGAAATTACTTCCCAGTGGCAATCAAACACTCCCCCACATTGGCAAAGTACTGAACTGGAGTATATGACAAATTCAGTACTAACGTGCTGTAGAAATTCTGGATCAACAAAACAGTCTGGAGTGAACCCTTTTAAGTTGGAGCGGTAAGAACTGAAAAGATACTCAAAAACATTTGCTGAGGGTCTGTTCACATTTTGTTAGTTCTTCAAATCGGGGAGGATGACTCAAGGATAATTTTATCTTACTCTCTCCTACCAACATACTACACAGACCATCCCAGCCAGTTCTGTGCACACGTATTGCATCTGTAAATAAAGCAAACTCCCAAGACTTATTATTGATTAGGTTATGATTCCACTAATAGATTTTTTTTAAAACATAAGTGTTTAAACTCCCTTTTTAAACAGTAAGGAGTTTCCACAGATGAAGATCAAATTTTGAAATAGTCAAACTGAAGTTCATAGCATTATATTTTTCCTTTACCTTCTCCTTACTAGACAGCATAATGTGAAAGAAACTAAAGAAAACTTCTCGTCTTTTATTTTATAGAAAGAATAAAAATACCAAGTGAGGGAATTGAATATCTCATAAGAGATACTTAAGCAAGAAAAAGAAGATAACTATTTCTCAGTCAAAATGTAGAGACAGGATTTCCTACTTAAAGTATCAAGTTTTCAAGACAATACTGAGCAAGCAGTAATTTTCAAAATAGCAAAGTACTTCTAAAGCATTTATATATTTTTTTTCTGAGAGAGCAAAAAAACATTTGCTTGATCCTTTGACATTTAAGGATACCTACTAATTTAGGAATCAACATAAAATCTGCATTTAGTCTAATAAATAAAACCCACACTGCTTGATATTAAAAAAATACGTAGTTGAATGAGCAGAAGAATAACTTGTTTTCCATGGGTCAAATATACTTTAATACAGCTAAGATAAACTACTAAAATATACATAGACCTCAGCATGTAATTCTGACTCTTACTGTGAGCACAGAAGAGCCTGCCCGCCATATAGCAGGCCACCTGGGTCAACGTGAGCACTCCTGAGACAATCAGCAGTTAATGCAGAATAAAATTCATAAGCCTTTGACCCATATAAAGCCTTCGGGATGAAATATTTAAGTGGAATTGTTTATGGTATTTAACGACACACCAGTGCCTTTTTCTCCCTAACTGGGGATTATTTTTTTTTTCCCCAGCAGAGCTAGCACTGATCCATTTGAGTTGTTTTGCAGAACAAGTGCTAAGAAAATGTCCAAGAAACCCACGGACATTAAAAACTGCCCCATTCTAATTTTGGAAAGTAAAATGTTGTAAGGACAAAATAAAGGAAAAAAGGATCCTTAAATCAAGGTGCTAAAATCATACCTGACCTTCTAAATACACGGTCTTTTTCTCTGAGCCTTATATGGCTCAGAAAATGATGAGCTTCCAAAAATTCCTGATTTTGTCTGCTTCAGACTCACTTCGAGATGTCTTTCTGAATACTATGACCCAACTGTTAATGTGACTTTCTCGTTCCAAGATGACAGTCGTAAATATGTGAACAACTACATCTATATATAAACGTTCATCTTATCACTATAAAATAAACCAGAAAATTTATAGAAGGGTTTTGTACATACCAATACACCATTTTCACATGTCCAAGCACTTGGATTAGATTCAAGTTTACTGACACAAACTATAAATCTGTCTGGAAACACACGTAGCTCTATACAGAATGAATTGAAAAGCAGATTACAAAAAATACAACCACATTCAAAACCACACATATTGACAACACAGATATATGTTATTTAAGTAGACAAAATAATTTATTTATTCAAATGCGTACTAACTCGCTTCATGCACTCCACTGGTTTCTTACCTACTCTCTTCAACATCCCATCCCTCCTTTTGTTTTGCCTTTTTAAACCATTCAAAAGAATTAAAAATCAGTAAGTCAGAGGAGGTTTAGTTCCCAAGAGGATCGTCATGGCTGTAAACTAGCCCACCTGCACCCCTGGACAAATATACCAGACAGAACCAACAGACAAACCACTTAACCATGATTTCTTTTGTGCTATTCTGGGGATGAGGCTTTTCATCACAAAATCTTGTAAATTTTGTTTGTAATGCAGCACAACATATTCAGTCAGGACTTGGCATAAAAACTGAGCATAAGGCTGTTCCAAACTCTGACTGCAGTGATTTTTGAAGCCATGAAACGAATTGGATAACTACTACCAAACTACAACATATTTTACTCAAGATCACATGGCTTGTTATGAACACAACAAAGTTTTTATTTACAAGGGATTAAAAATTGAAGGGTTCTCAGATTAAAACAGACCAGACAAAGCTTTGTTCAGTACCTAGCAATACTATGAAAAGAGCATAGCTGGATATTTTGTTATTTTACATATCGGATTATTTCTAGAGTACTGTCTTCATATTTTCAGCTCAGGTTATTTTGTCGGTGGTTTTTGGTTTTGTTTTATAAAAAGAGAGTTTCTAATTTTTAAAGTTTTTTATACTTCAAGCTGTAACACCCTATTTTCTGGGACAATAAAGAGACAAGGCATGCAGAAAAAAACCATGAGGTTGACCTCACAGATTTTTTTGGTAGAAAAGTATAAGAATATAAGTCTATAGAGCCTATATAGAGTATAGTCATGATGAGCACAATCTTCCAGTGACGATCAGGTCATCCGTATGAGTGACTGCCTCTCTGCAAGGTCCTGCTTCTTCACCACCAGCATATCTCCATCAGTATCTGTCAAAGCTCCCCGACTGCATTACCGGCAGTGACTTTTCTTGAGTCATTACAATGAAAGATGGGGATGTTAAAACAGATTACCTTGCCTCTGCCATTGGCTGAAAAAGAATACACAGATACCCCAGATGCATCTGTATTGGCACAAGAGTTTGCTAAGCTACTATAACTTGATAATGAATATGAGCCTTTCATAATCCTTTCAGAAATACCAGTTCTGTTTTGCAAAACGAAGTACTCCTGCTGTGCCTCATGTCCAGAGTATTCTTTCTCTGCTTCTATCCTCACAACCTGAAAAGCCACCCACAAAGGTCTAGCACAATGGCTTTCAAAGTGCAAGCACTCTGCGGACATCTTCCAAATGAGCTACAAAAGAAAAGCTGGACAACTGTTGCAAGGATTGAATTTGTTTTGTTGGGTTCCAATAACAGCCTCTTAGGTAAGTTTACTTCAGATATTGAGTGAGCATCACTGAATAAAGTATGTAAGATTATGCTTCTGTTAAGCTCAACGTCTATTTTTTGTTTGTGAAGTACTAAATGTATCTTAGAGAAAGGAAACATTGGTGCCAAATTATTTATTTTTTTAGGCTATATGCTTATTTTGCTATTTATTGAGAGAGAAACCCAGCAAAATGAAGTTCTTTTCTTGTCAGGAACTTCACGCGGAAGCAGAGTTTTGACTGCAGCATCAGAGCCTCTCTTTTTGGCAGCACTAGTAGGGCAAGTTAATTCCAGTTAGACGTTTTTATTGTTATATTTTATAACAATCTCACTTGCTGGCTAACAAAATGGAAGTATCTTTAGGTATTCATTGATGCTTAAAAAAAGTTCAAATTTAATACACAGAAACCAATGTTGAGTTACCAGTGCAGACACTCTGCTATTCTATTCTAACTATTCTTCCAGGAGGCTGGGAGAACAAGTTTGATGAAATATTTAAAATCAACACTCCAAATCTCTTCAACCAATATGGACGCAGAGAACTAGTTGGCATTTGAAGAGAGATTTAAACATTTACGATTGTAATGAATTCATGTAGAAATAAAAAATTCCTTAAAAATATCCATTCAAGTATTCAGTATTTTTAAGGGCACCTAATTGACTTATTTTACTTTTTTTAATACTAGAAGCTCATCACAAAGGGCAGTGATTGTTATAGCTCCTTTTTGTTGCTGTTGGTGGGACAGGATTGATATCACTTCCTGACGGAGCATCTTGGCTTGAGAAAACATGAAAAAAAGACCTGGTCCAATGACATCACCTATGTAAAGATTTTTATAGCACTGAGGTGAATGAAAGCCTTTTCTTGCATACACTTGTACTGTACAGTTGATGTCACAAGACACTCGAGCAATAATAAAGTGATTCATACTGCAACCTCTGGTTAATTCACCCTGCAGAGACTCAGTAAAATGCTGAGTCTCATCATACTTACAGAATTTGGTGTGGCTTAGCTGATTACCCTAGGGCAAGGCATACACAAATTTAAAATTAAGTTTAAAAAAAAAAAAAAAATCCATCAGATGTTAAGAAATACGGTTTTGGTTGTTTTGTTTTTTTTTTTTGTTTGTTTGTTTGGGTTTTTTTTTTTTTTTTGGTTAGGAAACATCCTCTTAAAAAAAATCAAATAAAACCAAAACTAAGCTCTGAAAGAAACTTTGATTAAGTAGACTAAAATCTGACAAAGTATTAGTTCATGTTCCCTTTTTTTCTCCCAGAAAAGCAAAATTTTAAATAATATTATAAGAAACTGATTTCTTACCACGATAACGTTTCCCTACAGCACAATGGAGATTAACCCATCTCTTCATAAAGTAGGCAGTAATGTGAAAACTGTTGGCTGCAACATAAAACAAAGGGATAACAGTAAGTGTAAGGGTATCTTTGGCGTTCTGGTCTGAAAGTGTTGCATATCTGTGAAGATAGGATTGAGAGAAAACAGCAGCAACAGCTCAAGAATACAAAAGAAAAGGTAACTCTAAAGGAATATTTTTAAAAAGAAGCTGCTTGTACTGAAGTCTCAATAAATTAGTATCTGAAACAGGAAAAATCTAAACAAATTGCTAACCACTGAGTTATGGTATCCAACCACAGAAATAAATTTAAATCAAGTAATTGATCAGAGGCATCATCTGCTTAATAGCCTAGTGTCACAGTCATATATTGTAGACATATATATTCTACAAGATCACTACAGATCACCATTTACTTAACTGCCTTCTAGAGGAGGGTGACACACTCAAAGCTGAGAGGAAAAAAAAGTCAGCTATAAAAAAACCCCCGCAAACATACATCCATGAGAGGTCTTAATTATCTACAATGCCATTGAATTAAGTGAGAACTGCATACATTTAAACTCCTCAGTATCTACAAGTAGACAGAGCTAGGCTGGCTGATCCAGCAGATACCTGTAACATACAGAGAGGCTTCTTCAGTTTCTATTCCTGAGAACGACAGAAATCCTTGTGCACCAGGAGCATAACAAAAGGACAGAAAGGATTATGTTACGGCAAAGAGACTATTAGACTGTGGCTAAGGAAATCGGCTTTTACTTTTGTTCTACTTAAATTCCCAAATGACCCTGAGTAAATCAGTTAGGGCTTGATTCATAGAGGTATTTAGCAACCTAACTCCCACTGCAACTGAAAGAAGTTACCATCTGTGACTCCTCCTCCATAGCCTCTCTGTACACCTCACTAAAATGAATGTGCAAAAGAGGGTTAGCGGTATTTCCCCTAACTCTGATGGGTTTTGCAAGACTTAATTTTCTAACTTTTCTGTGGCAATTGCACCTAGGGTTTCTGACTGTCTTGCAAGCAGCAATAATTTAAGTGCTACTGCTGTTCTTCTATGTTCTTCTAATCTAACCATTTCAAAAGACGTAAGGAAGGCTTGTTTGTTCCAGTCTCAATCTCCGCTGAGCGAGTGCCAAGGTGTGCCTTATTTCTAAGCATAAGCCCCAAAACACACGTCCTCTCCTGCAGAGTCTACAACCCTTCAACTGGTACAAGACCTCCTGGAGCTCACCATCAGGTACTGTGCAGCATCACCTCTCATTAAGAACCATAGTTATTGATCACAATCAATCCCTTTGAAATTTATCAGCCATCTTTTTTCCTTCCCCTCAGGAAGATACCTAAAATTTGACTTCCCTTTAGAGATCAAGTCAAGATGTGACAAGTTGAACCATCCTTTAAAAATGATGAGTGCTAGAGAAAAATTTGGATGTAATCCACCAGCTTTATTAACCGTATATTTACGAGCACAATTAAATAAAATTACTTTTAGCTACTTCCAGTTTGGCATCCACAATTCTTTAACACTGTTAGTAGGGTTAGCCAAATCAAAGAATTTGCCCTGTATATAAATAAATTATTAGTGTGATAATAGCATCTTCCACCGTGACCTCCACAATGCTGAAAAAGTAACATTCCTAAAAGGACAATTTTGCAAACAACTCTTCAAACAGACAGTAAATACTGAAAGTCTCTCCACCTCCATTTGCCTGGGAAATTCAAAAAGTATTTTTCTTGAGAGGAACTTAAAATGAAAAAGTGTGAATCTTTTGGTTTTCACAGGGAAAAGGACGATATTTCATTCCTGAAATTCTTTTATGAATCAGTGACATGTATATCTGCTTAATTTCTTGCTATCCTGGTATTCTCTGAGAGGTTAAGTGTTTAATCATATTTCATTGACTAATGGCCTGAACAGAGTTTCAAATTCCTCTTAAAGGCCCTTAATCAGCTAGCTACTGTTCTCTGGAAAGGAACACCTACCTCAAATCTAACAAAATAAATAACTACATAAGAAATCAAGACACCTCTACACTATTTTTGCAGCGTCAGCTCAAGTCTGAAGGTCCCTTCAGAGGGAGTTGCACCTGAGCTAATAAGCTCAGCCCAGAAGGACTAACACTAGAAAATGAGTTTCCACGACTATTTATTACTTGACTGTGCTGAAAAAGCCTGAACAGATGATTTGCTGTTACTTCTTGAAACTATGAGAAAATATTAACATGCATTACATTCCAGATACCTGTATTTTGAAACTATCACACAGCTATGCTCATCAAATGTTTTGAAACCCTCTTGTATGTGACATCCGAGCTAATCCATAGTCGTCTGGAGTTTGCAAATCCTCCCTGGTTTTCAAGTTGCCAGAGTTACCGCAGAACTATAGAAACTGTAATATCCTCTTTCTGCTTCCTTCAAGAAAAATGTATTATACAGTTAACCATTCTGCTTCATGAAATACGAAACTAAAAGAGAACCTTCTTATCCGACAACCTCATGCAACTTGCAGCTTTTTAAACTTTCTACACAGTTACTCAGCATGAGTCCAAGTCTGTTCTCAATTCCAGACTTGTCCACCATCAACACTGTTTATATACTAAGCATATACTAATGTTGGGTTTGGGCAAGCTGTGGATTATGCTGCAGGGAAGATGGCCAGTGTATGCTCAGCAAGGACCAAAAGCTGCTGTTCATGGTATCTGGAAGCAGGGACCAACTGATTTGTACCAAATGATCCATCACTAACTCAATTTAAGCACACCATGGAAGCTTTAACCTCAGGCTACATACAGTGTTTTGCAGCCAGTAATGTAGAAAGTTCACAGAGCTTAGGCTCAGCAAACCCAGCCGGCCCAATCTTCAGTTTCCTCTTCATCATGCAAGGTAGACAAAGCTCCATTTGTAGATTACCGACACGGAAGCAGAAATAAAATGGATGTCAGTGATTTGGAGTTTTGTTTTCTTTACTTCAAAACTGCACACCTAAATCATCAGGATCCGGGTTCTACAAGCGAACAAGGAAAGAACAAACAAAAACACAACCCCCTCCACACACACACATGCACCAAACCCAACAGACTAAATAAAATAAATAGACCCTGAAACCCAAAATGTGAATGAACAAAAGTGGTTCTAGAAAAGCCACAGTTCAGTTTCAGCTGAAATACACACCAGGGAGTGCTGCCTTTTAAGGGAATGGTAATTCACCCTGCTTGTTGTATTTCATAGTCCCACAACACCGAGAGGAAGTATCAGGCACTGGCTCTTTACTGTAAGACTATCCAGCAACACTTGTTTTCCAAAGGAGTCACAGCCAAGCTGACTTGCGCTTCCAGAAGGCTGCCAAGAAGAGGCTGTGGTACCGCTGGAGCAGTGGGAAGCCCTCTCCCACGGCTGTTACGGACCATTCATCTGGGAGCCTGGGAAAATGCCTCTGAGCTGCTGAGTTATCTGGAGCAGCCTGGCAGGCGTTCGCTTCCCAGCACAACCTGGCACCTGCGTGGCTCCGGCACGAAATTCAGTCAACTCTTCTCTAAAGCCACAGTACAAGCCTAAGGAGGCCAACCGCCCCTCCCCAAACATTTCCATATCTGACAGGCACCTATGTCTCATCACACAGTGTTTCTACACCATCTTTAAAAAAAACTACCTCTCTTCCTCCCAGCCTAGATGTTTCACATTTGGGACAGATTGTTCTGGATTAGGACTGCCTCCACCTTTGGAAAGTAACAACGAAGTACATCACTGCAACACACAGATATCGAACAAATAAGAGGGTGAATTGCTTATGTTACAATGTGAAAGTAAATACATCAGTGCATTAGACTTTCTGAAACAGTATACTGTACATTAAAAAAAAAAATGTACATTTTGCTTATGCTAGATTAATTATTCCACACAGATTAAACTACACTAGTAATAATGTTTACAGTATATAGAGCTTTTCATCTTCAAAGCATTCTACAGACCTATTATTACACTGCTTTTCAGCAGTCATATTTCTCCACTTAAAATTATTCACCACCACATCCAAATTCCTAATTGTTTGTAAACAAAACAAATAAAGGAACATTTTATTTCAAACCTACTGTTAATCTTGCAGCTTTCCCTCCCCAAAACAAATGTTCATGTGCATACCATGTGCTTCAGAGTAGATCGCTATTTCTAATTTAAAAGAGATTCAAAACCAAACGTTGGCACCTAAGTTTAAGTTCAAGTCCAAGATAGAGCAGGGACAGCAGATGCAAGACAGCAGACACAAAAAAGCTGTAGAGATTTCTTGAGCCTTTTCTGGTGTTCAGAATGGGTACAAAATTTCTTTAGCATCTCATGCACACAAACACACATGCTTTCCACTCCACCCCCCCCCAAAAAAAAAAAAAAAAAAAAAGGCAAGCAACTTCATAGTTAATGACAAGCAGCATTTTCATCTAGTGCACATTTTTATACACTAAACAGTGGCTTTCAGAACAACTTAAACAGTCCAGCACGGCATCCATTCTTTCCATCCATTCTGCTTTCAGTTCAAAGAATTTTTAAATACTTTTTAAAAATTTTATTTCAAGTGATAATCACAAGCAAGTACACAGGAAAATGTGTACTCTTCAATTTAAAATAAAGTCCATAAACTTTTTAAAAAGCTTCTCATACCTAACAAAACACATTCAGGCCATTAAATTTATATACATAAAGCATGTACTGAAAGAGAAAAAAAAACTTGGGTGCAGTACTTAGCGAGTGAGTATTGCTGCAGGGTCTGATCTTGCAAACTCTTATACCTGCAAATAAATTCAGCTTAAACCAAGTATAGACAAAAACAGATTACTGATTTTTTTTCACCTTACCCTTTCACAATTTTATTAGTGTTAGTGCTGTTCTTTTATCTGCTAAATATTCTGAACACAAACCAGTTGCTGACACAAACAGGTGAGAGATCTGTCCCATCAAGGATGTGGGGACAAAAGTCAGTTCCTGTTAGGGAACAGGGTCCCTGACTGGAAGACAGACATGAACCTTTAAATGAATCTGGTCAAGACAGGATGAG